TTTGTCATTGTGATCGCAATTGAAATGAAATAATATTCATTTTCATTTTCATTTCTATATTCCGTTACACTGAATAGAGTTGAGATGATGTTTATCCAGTTGAATATGTTTGTTGAGTAGTAAAAGTTTGGTTGTGAATGCGGAGAAAGACACCGTCTGTGTTTGTGCGAGAATTGGCAACAACAAGATCCATTTGATAGTCATTATTCAGATCCGATGGCAGCGGATCTTGGATATGAACTAGGGGCAATGCAACTTTTGATTCTTTGTCGAAATTGCATTTGACATATGCGATCTAAAACGAAAGGTTTTGTGTAGTCATAGGATTTGACTCGATAGAAATCGTTTACTTGATCTTGGAACAGTGAAATAAACAATGACGATGTCAACGATCATTGAGATTCCCATGAATATCACGAATACAGTAAAAAATAAAGTAGATAACCACACGATGACTCTCTTGACTAGAATAAACGATAATTACATGTGATAGTACGAACTGAAATACAAACTGTTTCTTTAGATGGATATTTGGTTTATCTATATCGTTTAGTTCACCATCAATTTGTTGTTGTTGGTCAGTTGATATTTGATCGTTAGATACGAGTTGAAAATCCATGTAATCACAACAAAGACAAATGTCGTCAATGGTCAAAATATGTCAGTAACAAAAACAAGAATCCGGAAAGTGATATCTATATCTGGGCGCGTCGTGTTTTTGTGTGATGCTCATTTTGCATGACATCATCATTTATATTCAAAAGAATTATAATGAGAATGTGAGGTTAATTTATGAAATCAAAACCCCTATTCTTTTCCTATAATTACATAGAAAAATCGATAATTATTGTCGCATACGAAATATCGAAAAAGATTTTTTAAAATGATACATATGTTACGAAAGCAACTATTATGTTATTGACAGTGTCCTATACGCATGACATAGTCGTGTATGATGTTTTGCATTAGTATAATAGTAACAGAACAAGCATAAAGCACATGTTAATATCGATGATTTTTCTTTCATTTGCATTACACATTAACTAAATAGAGTCTTGGGATGTGTGTCTATGAGAGATATCGCTCATAATCAGACATCATTTTCAAATGATTGAGTTGCATAGTCTACTATTCGTCTCTGGTTCGGCCTTCTTTCACTGAACAGACGTTCTTTGAGATTCGGACCGAGATCAAAATAGAAACCTCGATTCCGGCGGATGCTAACAAGAAAATTCATCGTAGTTAATCTTGCCGTTTCTAAATGGATGTATCAGACGTCATCAAAGCACATCGAAGACAGTAATTCAATGAAAGGCAAGCTTAAATTACACAGAATGATTTAAAAGTCCTCAGAGCGATATTTCAATTGCATTATTTGAGGCGAAGTATAATGTAATATATTCGTACGTGTCGTATACGACATAGTAGCCAAACGGATGCAGCGATCTAGACTAGTATTAACGATAAAGATATTGAGGTCTTTTGTACATTAATTGAAGACATTTTACATTTATGCGTTATTGATAATGAATTAAAATTGTAGACGTTATAAGCTGATTTACACGACATGCATGCGTGCATCAAACAATTGACATTAAAACATATATTAAAAAAACAGGAAGTAATATTGATGTAGTATTCACTTTGTACTTCTTATCTGATTGATACCGACAGAATTTTGGTTATTTGGCTATTCAAAACGATAACTTGGTAGTTTTCCCGATTTAAAATCGTCGGAACAAGTCAGAACCAGGAAGGTTCGTGTCATATCGATAAATGAGAGTCGAACGAAATTTTGTGTAATTAATCATACGGTAACATTTAACCCTTAAAAACCGAAACGTCCCTTCCAAGGGACATTGCATTAATGGCTATAGAACGAAGGAATTAAGTCGTATCCACAAGAGCTACTATTTTGTCGAATGAGAACAGCCAGAGTGATAGTATCATAAGAAAAAAATCGCGTAAAAATAGTGGTCAGACACCAAAGTGTCGCTTTTAGAGTGTGTGACTTTTCAACCATAATTAGTTACTTGGATATTTCTGTCTGATGATATATACAACGTGGATTTCGAGTGATATCATTAGAAATAATTATAAACTATAATATAAAACAACTTTGTGCGTTTTAAACTCTTCTACTAAGGTATTTTGAAGGTATAAAAAAGTGCTATTTTATGGGAACTTTTGGGCATAATCCTCAGGATTATTCGCAAATTTTCGCTCTATAGATAATTAGAGATATCTTAAAATTTCATCAGCGTGAACTTACAGTGATCCTGAACCATATAACAGGATCACCGAAGCAAAAATTTATAACGATCATACTTCACCCAGGTCATCTGGGTGGAAAAATTTTTTAGTCCCACCCAGCAGTTCCAACCACGGTTTGTGCATATTGGGGGTCTAAACTCTCTATTTATGTGATTAATTCTTTCTCCATTTCACAAAAACCCTCTTCGGCTTTTAAGGGTTAATGCGATGATCTTCTTTCGAACGTCGTTCATTCAAAACTACAGAACATTCCGAGAACTTTTTGATCGCACTATGGAAAAAACAGACTTCAATTACTGTTAACTTTTTCTTACAGACCAAAGATTCCTGTCCACTAGATGTTAATTGACTGGACAGATAGCTGGGATCTGTGTCGGTTCGATTAGTGTATGTGGTTGTCCTACTTCTATGTTAACAAAGATGATTCGAAATCTTCGTGATGACGTTTATTGGGAAACGATTGGTGTCGATCACAGTTCAAAAACGACTGTCCCTCTAATCTTACAAGTTCAGATAGGTCAAATAGGCAGAGTAGAGAGAAAAAGGTATGTATATCATGGCATCGAACCACGCATAGAACATATAGATTTGAACAAGAAAGGAAAAAAAGTAGCGATAATAATGTACCCTTTGTTATCGCCAACAATTACGCATTTATAAGTGGAAAATCTACACGCACGTAGCACATATCAGAATATTGAGCGAATTCGTCAGATATACGGTTTCTGTTCACATCCTAAGCAACGACAAAATTTTCATGCTGTTCGATTGACAATCGGAGATCGTGATTGACATATGAAAGTGATTCGAATTTCTATACTGTATTGTGCAACTCTTGTCTGTTAAAAGATATTCTATTCAAGACGTATCAAAATGAAAAACTTGCCTATTTTTGGTTGAATTATTTTATTTAATTAAGTTAACGAAGAATTCGCTTACTCTCAAGACACTTGGTTTTCGTGAATCACATGCACATGCGTTAGTCATCAAAGTACAATATGTTGTACTTCGTAGATTGCAGAAGGCGTTGTTCTTCTTCTTTTTTAACAAAATTCTTGCCGATAATAACTTTATTCGATGTCTACGTAAACAAAAGAAAATATGTAAAATTTTCCTCACTTACTTTGTTCGTTCTCAAGATATTTGCAAGTGGTTGAATTCCATCAAGTTCAATATTGTTTCGTTCCAAATCAAGAGTGACGATTAACTGCATGAGATAAGAATACAGATGTTTCCTTTACTTTATTCACACACAATGCATTAGCTAAATAATGTGCGCTCAGAGTTCGAATTTAGTTCCAACTGAGATGGGGCGTAGTGAGATTCTATTCAAAAAAGAGGAAAAAGTCATAAGACGATTTATCCTTAATTCTATTCTTCTTTCGCTTGAGTTCTTGTAAGAGCGTCAGCTCCCTAAATTGCGATTTGATTCAAGCTGAAATCAAATGTTGTCAATGTTTGTATGCCACAAATGAGTGAGACGAAACAAGATTGCTTCTATTACTTTGTTCAGTCGTAATACACTAGTTAGATAGGTTGTTCCGCTGCCCTCAATGTGATTTGCATCAATATTGAGTGTAGTAAGTGTTCGTGTAACAGAACCTTTCATGTAAGATCTTGACAATCTACCTGATAGCGACGATAGCTATTCATGATTGTGTTCAGTCGCTGACAATCGTTCATCATTAAACAAACGAATGTATAATCATTCACATGATCAAGAATCTGATAAACGATCTCAGCTGTCAGCAACATGACAAGAGAAATCGTCTGCCGTTTTGACATTGTTATTCAATGTGTGTTATATCAATCAATTGTCTGATATTTTACTTTCTCAAATGACTATGAACACACTTATTCGAGAAAAAAAACATGACAAATAATGTCTTATTACACTTGGCATAGAGTTTGCTATCATACAGACACATCTGTTCTATGTTTTTCGTTTGTTTGTTTCTTCCATTCTTTTCCTATTTTCTTTCTCATTCCTTGTGATGATATATTTATGTACATGTTCGACTTTTCGAATTCAGTTGGATAGAGAGATCGCGCGTGATCACAAATACAGGAACATCGCTCTCCCGAACAAACGAACGAACGAACGAACGAACGCTCGTTAATAAATAGTGCTACATACTATCGATAGAAAAAGATTACGAACCACGTGTGTGCTTCTTTCTCGATATAAGAAGAAATATGAACGCAACATTTCGACCCTTTCTGCTTGTCACGGATCAGTAGCTTATCCACATAGCTTACAATACATTCTTTCGCTGCGCAATTATCGAGACATAATCGAGTTTTTAAATTTCATATGTATTTTGTTATAGAGTACGAGAGTCAATAGATACCTGACGAAGTGTTTATGTGATAAGTTGATCAGTAGCCTATTCAATGATAGCTAACTCTGTGTTACATCCCGCCATCTGATGACACGTCCACAGATCTTTCGTGGACGTAATCGTCTCTCTCTCTTTCCTTTGTGTGTTGTTTCTATATAACCTGGTGAAATAAAAGTAAAGTCAGTTATGTTCTAACTATTTATCGAACACACGTCTTTTCGCTCTCGAACATCGAACATAACAGTGGTGACAGCGGTCTATTGAAGAAGAAAATTCTCTTTCTTCTTCTAACCCCTCGGCGAGCGCACAACAAAGAAGGAATCCTTTCTTTACGGGAGGTTGATTCTGTATTCGGCATTCAACAAACCGATTTAAATTGCAATCATGATTAATAACGAAACACCCTCAAACCTAATCAGCGATCCGAAAACGACGGAAACGCCAGTTGTTACTAGACAGGTGCAAAGACCACACACGTCTGACGAATCAATACATCGTCACGTCCGAATGTTAATGGAAGGAGACCGAATGGGAGCGGACGAACTGTTTACAGCACTGAACAAATTTTATGACGAACAACGTTATTCATCGTCAGAGCGTATTCGGTGTACACAAATGTTTTTAAACGACGAAGGAAAAGAATGGTATGAACAAAACAAAGCCGAAATCAAGGACGATTGGTTATCTTTCTGTGATCGATTGAAGCAACATTTACAAAGCGGCCGACCGATTCGTACACGTCCCTCACCACCAAGTGAAAACGTATCGGTGCACAACGAAGACAAATGTACATTGGAGGATATTATCCATGAAAAATTTAACACCTATTCAGGTATTGGTGATGCAAAAAGTTGGCTACTACAAACCATGAATCGATTCAAATTATACCACATACGACGTGACGACCAACTCGAAGCTATGCCTTTATTGTTAGTCGACGAAGCTTATTTATGGCTCGTGGAAAACGTCGAAACTATTCCGAACTTCGAAGTATTCAGCAAATTATTTCTTGCACAATTTGCATTGACAACAGCGTCAACGATAGGTTCCATCAAGGGTACTGTTGCACCAGCGACTGTTGTACCTGACCATTCACCTGCATCGCATTTGCAAAGAACCATAGCTGATGAAATAATCAAACGGCCAACACTTTTTCGTGGTTCACAAGATGATGTACACGATTGGTTGGAGAAATTGGAACAACGATTCGCAATGGCACACTGGAACGATGAGGACAAGTTACGATACATATCAATACATCTACAAGATGATGCCTATCGATGGTGGATGCAAACATCCACTACGATAAAGACTTGGTCTTCGTTCACAGATGCAGTCGTACGTGCTTTTGGCTCAACACGAGCACAAGAGTTGGCGTTTGAACAATTGAAATGGTACAAACAAACCATCAACCAGTCTATTACTCAATATTATGAAAAAGTTATCGAACTATGTAAAAAAGTCGATGTTGCAATGCCTGATTCCTTGAAATTACAATATTTGATGGCTGGAATCAAGGAATCATTGAAGACACATGTTGCATTACAAGATCCGAAATCAACTGAAGCATTCTTATCATCAGCACGAAAAGTTGAAGATATTTTCGCACTTAAACAAACCGATCAGGAAACCGTTGCAAATGATACTTATTTGAACGCAACTAGTTATCAAAGTCAACCAAATCAAACGAACTTCACACCAACATCGAATAATAATTTCCATCGAAGCAATCCTCGATATCCAACGGCACCAAATAATCGGCCGATGTATAGTCGAAACACATCAAGTACATACAATGGTAACCGGCAAAACAAATCTTCGAAGTATACAAGACCAACGCAACGATCAAATGCATGTTTTAACTGCGGTACTCTTGGCCATTATGCCCGAGACTGTACCCGTCCACATTTTCAATAATGGAAGCACCGGTCGATGGTGTTGCTTCCACGAATTTATATAGCAATCCATCGACGTTAAACACATCATTGCTTTATCTTGACGTCCTTGTAAATAATAAACAAATGAAAGCAATGATTGATACTGGCGCAAACCGAACATTTATTTCATTACAAGCACTACCTAGACCACACACTCAACAATTTATTGACAAACAACAGAGAAGTGCATCTTTAGCTGACGGACACACATCACTTTCTATTTTAGGCACGTTAGAATTATGCATTGATATTGGTGACATGTCAACAATTATCAAAGGATACGTTGTGAAGGAATTATGTGCCGAATGCATATTAGGAATGGATTTCATTAGTAAATATAAACTCATTATCAATGCAGATGAACGAACAGTGACAATGCGTGATGATGATAGATGCATTACAACGACATTTGATGTTAATCAACGCAAGATTCGTTATCCAGCACGAACAATTAGTCAGATCTATGTTCCACCGAAACGAACAGTCTCAATACCAGTCAACGTGAAAATATCGTCAGCCAAAGTTTCATTTCGGCCATCCTTTCGATTGGCGCGACAATCACCAATGATATTGTTAAACAACATGGTCGTGGTGAATCACCAAAAGTCACACATCTCACTTTACAATCCGACAAAATATTCGTACACGATACCTGAGGGCATCGTAGTAGGAACGACCACAGTTCCAACATTATCTTTCAACAAATGTTCACCAATCGATCATGAATTAGTCAACGGATATATTACAAAGTTGACTCGACACGTCGCAGATCCGAAACAAGCAGACGAAATTAAGAATATCCTTCACCACCATGAGAAACTCTTCGACACAAGCAAACCTACGATTGCTGTTAATGTCAAACCACATGAAATCAAGACACTTGATTATCCCCCACCGACGTCGAGACCGTACTATTCAACGCCGCAAAAGGAAGAAGAAATGTACAACATCGTTCAAGATCTTCTACAACATGGTCTCATTCGCAAGTCGTATTCTCCATTTGCAGCACCAGCATTACTGGTCGCTAAGCACGATGGATCATGGCGAATGGTGGTTGATTACAAGAAATTGAACAACATGACAATCAAAGACAACCATCCGTTACCGAACATGGAACAAACAATAAGACGATTAGGCGGTGGATACAAAT